GCCTTCCTTTTGACAGAGTTGGGGTATTTTTGACTTTCTCCAAGTAAAGCTATATTTTCACCTTTTTTTCTTTTTTTTTTTAAATTCTATTTCCTAGTCAAATGTCACTTTGGAAATACACAAGAATGAAACGGTTATTTCCATGTATTTCCTCCTCAATGGAACCTATTTTGATTTTGATATATAAATACATATCCCAGTCTCCCTGCCTACCTCTCATATTAAGGTGAGGTTCCATCTTTCTATACAACTATACATACAGAAATTTGAATCTATAGTTGGGTTTTTGTTTTCTTGATTATGGCGGTGGTATCATAGATGAAAGAAATCGATTGGATCAAGGGCCCAGAAGAGGATGAGTTGTTGCAGAGGTTGGTGGAGAAGCATAAACCTAGAAAATGGTCTTTGATTAGCAAATCGATTGCTTGACGGCCTAATAAATCGTTCTGGTTGCAATGGTGCAACCAACTTTTCCCTGAAGTGCAACTTCGAGCTTTCACACCTGAAGAAGATGAGACAATCATTTGGGTTCACGCGAAAGTTGGGAACAAATGGGGTACCGTATCCCAATTATTGTCCGGTCGAATGGGTAACGCCATAAAGAATTACCGGAACACGACTCTGAAGCGCAAGTGCTTTTCCATGTCTGAGGATTCCAATAACTTTAAGCCTGAGACTCTGCAGTCGTTGAAGAGGTCTTCAAGTGTCGGGTCGAGTACAAAACTCGGTCGCTCTGATTTATATTTATCCTAGCAGTCCATCTGAATTTGATTTGAACAGGGGCGGACGCAGACTTTTTAAACAGGGGGGCACAATCAAACTTTCAAAAACTGACGAAAAAATTAAAGTAAAAGATATTTTATTACAACTGGTCTCTACGTGTTCACGTATTTTGATAACGTTTCATAATTACATCATTATCAATCTTGTCAAATACATCTTTCTCAATATATGCAATCAAACTATCATTCAACCATTGATCTCTGATTCGATTGCGCAGACATTTTTGACACAAGTTATCGCAGAAAATGATCTCTCTACTGTAGCAGTAGCCACGGGAAGAACTAAAGCTAATATCACAAGCTTGTAGACTAATTGATACACTTCATGTTTATTCTTTGCAACCAACTTCTGTGCAAGATCACTAATACCATGTAATCCTTCAAAATCTTCAGATGTGCGCA